ACAAAACATTAAAAAACACGGTCAATAACGCGCTCGCAGCTTTGGTAGCATGGGCCCACGAAGTAAAGTTAAAATTCAACGAGAGCAAAACAGAAGCAGTTTTCTTCGGCAAGAAAATAAATCAGGAAAGACCAACTTTCAGATTCAACGGTCATTTCATTCGATGCGCGGAATACATTAAATACTTAGGAGTCTTTATAGATGAAAAATTATCTTGGAAAATACACATTCGGGAAGCGGCCAAGAAAGGGAAAGAAATCTCCCACAAAATTTTACCAGCGGCACGACTAACGTGGGGTTTTAGGGGCGCGACACTCGTGAAAGTTTACGAAGGAGCAGTTCAACCGGCCATGCTATACGCGGCATCAATCTGGGCGGCAGGAAGTAAAGTTAGGGAAAATAGGATGCTACTAAGCGCACAACGAATCTTATGTGTAAAGGCAGCTGCGGCATATCGTACGGTTTCCACCGACGCGGCATTAGTCATTAGCAGAGTACTGCCGGTTGATATCTTGTTGCAGGAAATACGCAGGCTCGATAACAAACAACGCTGGGACCATAGAGCACTGGAGAGCAGGGCAGTCCTGGACACCAACGTACATCCGGCAGACGTCCGGAACTTTCATTTCAGCAGGGGCAACGAGGATCAACACGACACCATCTGCTATACGGACGGATCCAGATTAGAAGACGGACAATCAGGCGCCGCATTCATCATCATGCATAACGGGACGGAAATACATCGCGAACGTTTTAGGTTAGGATTATGGAGTACAATTTTTCAGTGCGAATTACTCGCAATACGGGAAGCGGTTCGATATATTCGGGAACACAATTACGCGATTACCAGATGCTCCATCGCAACAGACAGCTTATCGGCCCTTAAGGCATTACAATCCATGGTTCGACCAACACAATTGCAATTCGAGACGTGGAAGCTAGCAACATCACTCGCGCGCGACATCGATCTAAAATTTCATTGGATTAGGTCACACTCGGGCATCAAAGGCAACGAAATCGCGGACGAATTAGCTAAAAGCGCAGCTACGGACGTAAACGTACCGATAATTTTCGACGATATACCACGGGCGTATTTGAAAAAGCAACAGCGCGAACAATCATTTAGGGAATGGAAACAACGCTGGAACAACGCAACAACCGGAAGATTAACCGCGAACTTTTTACCGGAACCCAACTTCGATACGGCAATAACAGGTAAATTCGATTTCTACACGGTGCAATTGATGACGGGTCACGGATCGTTTCAATCGTATTTAAAGCGAATAGGGAAAGTTGAAAACGACACTTGCGATTGCGGAGCGCAGGACACCGCCGAACATGTTATTTTCAGCTGCCCTTTGGAGGAACAGCACCGGGCAATCGCGGAACGGGAACTTTTGCAGCACGGATTACGGTTTCCGAGAACAATGGCGGACATTAGGGAAATGCGAAACGAAAAAGCATGGTGGAACGTACTACGTAAATTCGCGGCAAGCATTCAGAAGCTTCGAGTAACAGAGTAGGTAGGCAATAGGAAACCTGAACCTGGACTGGTAACAAACAGTACAACAAGAACATTCTCGCGATCGGACAGGAAAAGTTAGGTAGGACAGATCCGATGAGGCCGGACTACTCGACGTCGGGACAGTGAAGCATACGTCATCAGCAGTAATTACGTCTTCAACACTGAACACCGATAGAAGGCTCGAAACTGCCGGCGGCGGCAATGAACGCGCCGACGTCGGGAAAACCGTAACCCACGGGTCTCGAAACGAAAATTAGGCGGGTACTAGCGAAACAGGGACTCTCAGACTAAACGCGGGTGATCAGTATCACCAGGTTAGTGTAAGGACCTAGGTCAGGAGTATTGCAGAGGCAGCCTCGTCTTAACCACGCGAATTTTTCAGAATGCATCATAATCACTCGTTTCTTGGGATCATTTGCGGTTCTTAATTTGTGCGGCGAGTTGTGGCGTCCGGAGGGCCCGGGAAGCTTCTTGGCGTTCGCAAACGTTACACAAACACCGCCTATGATCAGACGTGGCTCCTCTCAATATTTGCCTGGCCTTAGACCGATCCCGGGGTCTTGCGCAGGTCAGATCGGTACTTTTTGGCACAACGTCAAATTCTTGCTGAGAGCAAATTAGTTATTGCGAACCTTTAAACAACAGCGGCATATCAGTTCAGGAAATACAGATAAATGTTCAACCTCATAGGAATTTAGTCCAAAACAACACGCGCGCTTCTACCTTCAGAAATCGAGACAAATACGCGTTAATATGTAAATAAATCCCTGTAAATAAAAAACAAGCAACTTTGCGGCTGCAACCTGTACATACCATTTATAAGTTCGACAACGAGCAATCAGAATATGTAAATAACCTTAGATAAGTATTGACGCATTACAACTGTAAGCAGAAGTAAGGAACACTAGTAAGTAAGTCGAGCAGGATAATCATAGAAGTATTGTTATATTTAGCTTTGCGGATAGTACTCACAGGAAACGGTTAGGCTACTAATCTAGCTAACGGGAATTATAAAGTTGGAGCCTACACGCATAGATTTTACGGAATGTAAAATTAAGATAGACTAGAAATGTGGAGCGTTAGACGCCTAGGGCGTGAGGCACCGTTAGGTTAAGCAACATACGCAATAAGATATAATTAAGGATCAAATATTTAAGGCATTAGAATGTATCGAGTTAGGAGGGCGCTGTAGTACCCCAGGGTGGAGCAGCGTACCCGATTTGTAACCCTATATGTAAATCTTTCTTCTACAAATATACTGTCTTAAGTTACCAACGCCTTTCATGGTATCCCATGAGCGTCGATTTAGGCGCTTTAACTCTGCGTTTGGTTCATCCCACAGCGCCAGTTCTGCTTACCAAAAGTGGCCCACTTGGCACTCTGATCCGTTATCGTTATAAGAATTACACACAAAACTCGCGGCTTCTAGTTCGAGCAAGCCGGAGTTCTCACCCATTTAAAGTTTGAGAATAGGTTGAGGCCGTTTCGACCCCAATGCCTCTAATCATTCGCTTTACCGGATGAGACTCGCAAAAGCGAGCGCCAGCTATCCTGAGGGAAACTTCGGAGGGAACCAGCTACTAGATGGTTCGATTAGTCTTTCGCCCCTATACCCAGTTCCGACGATCGATTTGCACGTCAGAATCGCTACGGACCTCCATCAGGGTTTCCCCTGACTTCGTCCTGACCAGGCATAGTTCACCATCTTTCGGGTCCCAGCGTGTACGCTCTGGGTGCGCCTCTTCTCGCGATGAGAACGAAACGCCCCGGGAGTGCGGGGCCGCGACCGAGCGCGGCCCATCCTCCCTCCGTCCGCGCTAAGGCGGACGTTCACTTTCATTTCGCCTTTAGGTTTCGCTAGAGTCCCAATGACTCGCGCACAT